AAGGTACTTTGAAATGTAAAACAAAAACATGTATACCTTTTTTACTAGGTTTAAAGACTTTTTTTTAATCGGGTATTTCCAAATAATCAGATTAGTCAATCAGAAGTGGTGGTGCTTTGAATGCAAATAAACACACGTGAGTTTATGTTGAGTTCCAGTAAGACTCAAATTACCACTAGTTAAATTTTCAATTGGCAATTGAACTTGATGGTCTGACTAGGAGAGTCCTAGAACAGAGACAGGATGTATTGTAACATGCAAGTGCCAACAGTTTCGCTGTTCTATAGCTTAAGAATTGGTTGTATCATTATTGACATAAGTTCAGCTGAGCTTTTCAAAATGTTATGCAGGTGATATTCATGTAGTTAATGCTTTGCGCTGAACTGAATTATTAACTATAATTTGCATTAGCATGGCTCTAGAGATTTCTTAATCCTAGTTGAAGGTCATTGACTCATTGTTAAAACATTTGTGGTTGTTTTGGGGGTAGCCATCTCTTGGAATTGGTGTTAGAAGTGGCAGCTCTGGACAGTTCATGTGAATAGAAAGACACGTGGTTTACAGAAGTTACTAATGTCCACTGAGCAGACCAGGGTTATGGTAAGTTTTGAGGAATTTGAGAAGTTGAGAGTTTAAATATATTTTAAGCGCAGTAAGATTTTCTTATGTCAGCTATCGGAGGATTCAGAACTATTAGCACAAGTTGCTGTGCAGCGTGTAGAACCACAGATTAACTACCGTATTGGGAAGTTGCTTGTAAGTGTGAAAGCATGCAAGTATGGTATTATATTTGCCCAGCAAACTGTTTTTATTTCGTATACCGTACATATTGTGTTAGATTATTTCTTTGTAGTTGAGCTGTTACTTGGTTACATTTTACTTACCAAAACTATAACTCCTGTTTAATTATTATTATTAACAAAATGGACCTTGAAATACCACACTTTTTACTTCCCATACAAATTATTTCACCTGCTTATATAATTTTATCAGTTTTAACTATCAACATTAAAATGCGTATGATACTGTAAATAATAATAATAATAGTGAAGTGGCTTTGCAACATTAAAATATTCCAATCGATTAAAATAGTTATCTTGCCATTAAGTGCAACGAAGAACAGAAGAAGGAAAGAACTAAAATTTTATTGATAGTTTATCATTGCACAATTATCCACAGTCACGGTTCGACGTTCTTTCAGTGGTTGGTCTTTCACTCAGATCTAATCCAACACTTAGTTAATGTGAGTTGACTGTTATTTATATTTTTCAGGAAATATATTGTATCTGATGATAAGTTAATTTCTTGAAATATGTAGCTTTAGACTTTAGCTCAACCATTTTTTTATTTTACCTCACGTGATTTATTCTATTACAAATTCAGAGGCACCGATTCTTTTATATCTTATGGACTTAAACAGTATGTCTTAACATAGAAAAAATATAGACCAAATGTAGGACACCGGCCTTAAAAATATAAAGAAATATCTGTCATCTCTTGGCCACAGTTAATAATATATAAATATGTATATTCATATGACACTCGTAAGTCTTCATTTTGGGCTGTTTAAAGATTTAAAAAATACATAATAAAGATATATCTATATATATACATGTTTAACTGGATTATGTTGTCTTTTTTTATGTTTGTTATTCATAACGATAAGTCGTTTGTTGGAATAATGTCGTTTGATAAATAGGCGTAACTTAAACGTATTATTTTGATTAATATTTATTGGCGCTTGTGTAAATGCTCAATTTTAAAAACTCACTCTTCTTCAGGTATGAAAATAAATAAAGCCACTTTATTATGCTTATAAATCGTTGTTTGTCAATTTGCTATTATATCAGTATTAGCGTAAAAGCCCGTCAAAAATGACGGAAAACCACTGGAAACCTAAACTATTCCGTATAAAACTGGCAATACACAAAAGAAATATATGTTTCCTTTTCAAGGAACATCCTACATATTGCTCTTGAATCCACTACATATAACTGAGAAAACACTATATATTAGTACCTTTGGATAAAAGATTAAAACGTACGATGACCATGCGATTGCATACCAACCTGTTCTTCTTCTGAGAAAAAATCGGCCTCTTCCCTACAGATAATTGGTATTTTCAGTCTTTTTTTAACAAAGGCTTTTTCGTAATAATTCCCAAGCATTGACTTGCGATAATTTTTTAATTCATTTTCACAGGTGTTGATAGGGTGTGAATTCATTTCTGTCTTGGAACGCAGGAATCTTCCAGGCTTTCCTGTTCGTATCCTACCTAGCTTGACGTCATAATTATGTGGATGATGTGGTGTCTCACACATAACACCATGCCTGATCTTATATATAGCAGAAAAAGTGCCGAGATTTAGGAGCTACTTACGCCTATGTTAGCGATTAAACTGAACTAAAATGGAAACAGACAATCGAAAGAGGAAGTATTATAGGAGAAAAAGTGGAATTAAACTCGTGTAACTTGCGAAATTCGGAAAAATCGAGCGTGACTGATCAACACTTGGCTTTTTTATATACTGATATATGCTACAATTAACAAGTATCCCTTAAGATTGTTTTTTTCATGATTTTCCTTCACTGTTAGTGATGTTATTACCACAGGTAGGACCTGTTAGAGGGGTGGCCAGGAGGGCCATTTGGCTTGGGCCTCAAGCTCAAAGGGGGCCTCAAAATCAGACACTTGTTGTTTTTTGCATTTGTTAAGTTTCGCGACTTGTTTCTATATGCCTCCCAATCAGCCAAAATGTGTCACGCACTCTCATCTTAAAGCTGCAAATCAAATATTCAAATTATGTTTCATTTTTCTTTTGGGCTAATGATTGTCTTATTTTGTTTTCATGTGTCACCATTTTGTATTTTTATTATAGTCAGGGGCCTCTTTGAACCTTTGAGAGGGCCTGACCACAAGCATAAATTCTATATATAGACCATGTAGCTTGAACATTACTAAAGAAGCATGGCTTTAAAAATAACTTAAGGCAATATTTAAATAGGATTGGATAGAGCAACTAATATATATGATTTACGTCAATGTTGAATAAATAAAGTGATTTGAGCAGTAATGTATTGTAATTAGACAGAGCTCCTGAAGGAGTGAACAAAGGAATTTAATGGAAAATTTGGAAGACTTGTTATCTAGTGTTTTGTTTTTACAGTTTATTTTTCGTTCTTTTCAGTCCTTTTCGTGTTAAATTATATCTGAAAGAGACAGAATTTTTCTTCTACGACAAGATATCAGTTAATCTAATTTAGGTTTAGTGAGCACTGAGCTTTGGCAATTAACTAGCAAAGAAAAAGTCAGTGTACTCTTGACTGCACAGAACTATACAACTACTTAACTTACATTTTCATTACTTGTGTGACATATGCAGTTTTTATGTTTTTCTTCGTAATTGGGAGCTCCTGATATTGGTAATATACATTTAGAAATTATTTCTGAGAATTATTTATGTGAATTTCCTAACTACGTTGCACTGATATTTTGTTATTATTGAGTGGTTTTCAACACATATTACTCTCTTTACAGTTAAACTATTCTTTGAAACTTGTTAATGCCGCATTTGGTATAATTAAGTAGGCGTAGGTGGGGAGTGTGTTTGAAAAGATAACACTGGACAACAAAAAATTTGCTACTGGAGAAAACTCAAGTGATTCAGGATAATTTGATGGTGCTGGTTTCAAAAATGTAGTCAGAATTTGTTCACCACCTCTAGATTTTGAGTGATTGTAATATCCCAGTATGTGAAATACCATGCTATCAACTCAGTACAATAATTTAT